AAGTAACATGGTAAAATGTCCCATCCATGTAACATGGTAAAGTGTCCCATCCAAGTAACATTGTAAAATGTCCCATCCAAGTAACATGGTAACATGGACCATCCAAGTAACATGGTAAAATGTCCCATCCAAGTAACATGGTAACATGTCCCACCCAAGAAACATGGTAAAATTTCCCATCCAAGTAACATGGTAACATGTCCCACCCAAGAAACATGGTAAAATTTCCCATCCAAGTAACATGGTAAAATGTCCCACCCAAGAAACATGGTAAAATTTCCCATCCAAGTAACATGGTAAAATGTCCCACCCAAGAAACATGGTAACATGTCCCATCCAAGTAACATGGTAAAATGTCCCATCCATGTAACATGGTAACATGTTCCATCCAAGTAATATGGTAAAAAGTCCCACCCAAGTAACATGGTAAAATGTCCCATTCATGGATTGAAATTATAAGTAAAATTGTAGTTAAAACATTAAAAACATCAAAAAGGGTTTCGGAAAAATAGCTGTAAGGATTTGAAATTAGCTTAGTAAGCGCTTGGCCTTGTCATGTTGTTGCTCAGTTCTCCTTCCAAACAACCCTTTTCGCAGCTTGTATATCATTATCCAAGCTTCTGATAATTGCATGTTGGCCCAGCTTTCATATTTGTGTTATGTTCGTTATCGTTGAAATTTTGATTGATGTCCCCTGAAATTATCTGAAGGCAAATGGAAATCAAATGTTCAGACCATTCAGTGTGCACAAGTTAGCAAGATTCCTAAGTTTGTCTTTGTTGCACTTTGCACATTACGTTCTTTGTTCAAATAACTAAATGAATTATAAGGGAACTGTTCATTGAAAAGATAGTATATAGCCAGCGTGTTTAAGATTAGTAAGAATATTTTATTCACCATTTTAGTAATAAACTTAGAATATATCCCGCATGGTTGTATCAGTATAATCTCATAGAATTGAAAAAGCAGTGGTCATGCACGTGCAATTTACGTACAGGAGACATATATGACGCCGTAGAGACAATGTTTTTATAACATTGTTCCAATATTAACTGGTTTTAAAGAGCTATCTCTACTGTTATCTATAGTTGACATAGATATCGGCTGGATTAGGGTTGTCAGCAATACAAATGAAGAATGGGATGATATGTCCTCTAAAACTTGAACTGACCTTCAAATGAGTAAATAAACACGTTAACAAATAAATTATAAAATTATAAATGAAAAAAGAAATAAAAAGAAATCAGTCAAACAATGGGTACCAAAAACCGAAGCTGAAAACTGAGGTTGATATTTTGAACAATATTGTAAATTCATAGTTAAGTGTGATTATTATTTTCTTTACGCTGACACAATTTGATAATAATTGTCTTCCCATTAAAAACTATAATTGCACTTGTACAAAAACGAAAGTTTGCATATGTATATTTAAGTCCTTGAAGAAAATGTTATGGTGGATGGTCGAATATCGTACATTTCTGAGCGAGGTGGAAACACAGGTGTTTTTTCTGGTTTTACCTTATATTATGTACATTTTTGGCGCTAGTATACCCTACACATATCCTCTGAGGAAGGGTCGGAGGAAGACAATTTGATAAATCGCGCCCTGACCGGTCCTTGAACTCGTGACCTACGGCACCAAATCGTCTAGCCTAGAAATATCCGCAGCTCCTATCACTATACCACCTCAAGGTTTTAGTGTGATCATTTTAGTATAGAAGTAAACGTGTGTGTTTGTTAACGTCAAAATGTAACATCATTAGCAAAATCCCAAATAAAACTGGATACTCATGAACTGAATTAATTGTATAAGATTGTATATAGTTGTCCTTATACATATTAGATAAGTCTACATACATATACAATAATATAATTAGTTATATCTGTATATCCATATAATCACTCTGTTGACCTCCTTAATTGCTTACATTTTACTTTTGAATCTAACGTAAAAGTTATATTAATCCTCGTGATTCAAGGTTTGTATTCACGATAAATGAAACTCCACACGTATGAAAATGTGAAAACTATTTTGACAACTTACCTCGACAAAATATATATAATGATAGTGGTCCTATGCTTTTGAGAGACATTTTGTTTATTTTAATACCTACATTCTTGTTATTCAATGCGTCAGACAATAATTTATATTTCTGTTAGACGAATGTGCTCTTTCTTTAGGTACGAAATGGTCCTGGCCAGTTTGAGATGGGGAAACGAAAGTTCACGCAGGCTTTGGACGGTTACGCTAAGCTGACGAGCTGGAAGTTCCCAGGAGATGGCACGTGTCTCTTCTCTACCAAATTTATCCAGTCTTCTTTCTACAAAAGCTCAGTGGAGAGAAACGACATCGCCCCTTACCTTAACTTTGGCGTCACTGTTCCTCCATATGATGACGTACAAAAAGCGGAGGCTATGATTAATGCCATGGACAATATGAACGTCAACTTTTACAATTATTCTAATACATTTGTCGCTGTAACGGACTTGTGGAAATGTTATGAAATTGACCTCCCTACCTTGAACACGGTTAGATTGATAGACGCTAAAATTCCTACCAACAATCATTCAAAAACGGATGACGTTATAAGTCTCCTGTCGTCAGCTCATCCACTTCAAGAATATGGTAAACCAGGGACGTATATTGACTATCTTGGCGGAGCTGGTATGATCCCAGGGGTTATACCGGACAAAATCACAGTTATCAGGACCAAAGGCGCCGAGGATCACGAAGTTATAGCTGAATGGCGTATGGACGCTGCTCCATATATGCATACGTTTGCTGTAACGGAAAATCACGTTATCTTCATTGCTCACCCTTACTATCAAAACTTCATGACGATGGCTAAAAATGGATATGCAGCGGCTGGCATGGAATGGCGGGCAAATGAGACTGCAAAGGTCTTCGTTGTCAATATTCCGACTGGAAAGGTGGAAACGTTTGAAACCGAAACAGTTTTTGCTCTGCATCACGTCAACGCTTACGAAGTGGACAACAAAATAATGGTTGACATACCTGTTCAACCAAACCCATTTTTTTTTAAGAAATTAAACTTTCCATCGGTACTCAACGCAACAGAAAGGAAGTCTATGACACTCATTTCTAAATTAAGACGATACACAATCGACATGGAATCCAAAACCATCTCGCATTTCGATTTCCCCAACGCGAGCAATAGTGAGCTTCCAACTATCAACGAAAACTATCGATCAAAACCGTATTGCTATGTATACGGCGTCGTATTTAACTGGAATGGTGAAGGTTTTAGCCACACCGGAATACTTAAAAAGGACGTCTGTGGAAAAACTGAGAACAAGATGTTTCAGATACCGCATCACTACCCGACGGAAGCGTGGTTCGTGCCTGCGCCACCGGAAGTAGCGAAGTCGGAAGATGATGGTGTGTTGCTCCTTGTTGTCCTGGACGGTGACCGTGAGTTATCTTATCTTGGAATCGTAGATCCAAAAACAATGACACTGATCAACAAGGCATATTTGCCGACAACCATTCCATTCAACTACCATGGCAGATTCTTACCTGGACTGTGGTAACTAAATATGTAATCCTATTTAACATGAAAACGACATTCTGCGGCTTTAATTAATTACAATAACAGTTTCTTCCTCGGTGTTGTAATGACTAATTAAATACAAGACCATACCGTCTTTCCCACTTGTTGGAATAATCACAGAATGAAGTGTTTTGAATTTTAGTAACATATCATGATCTCACCTTCTGAGTTTAACCTTATTACAATGTTCGTCCTTCAATAGTAATAAATAATATGATCATCTCCTATTCTCAATAAACAAAATGAAATACTAGAAGTCTTTTCGAATGATATTTTAATATTACAGAAACATTTTCAGCTGTATAATTGAAAATATTTCAATTGATTTAAGAAATGTTCAATTCGATTAAGGAAAGTTTTAATTCAACTGAAGTTAGGTTATGTTCAAATACACATTTGTCAACTGTCTGGCCTTTCTTAGGCAGGTGTTTGTTTTGACATATGTTATGTAGTAAGTATACGTGTACCAAAGTTTTGGTATACATACAAAGATTTAATATACATATGCTTGATTTATGCCTTTCTGGGGAGGCAGGGGACGAGGCCCAATACGGATAATATTGCTATATCTTTAAAAGTCACCTCCTTATCTTTGGTTGAAAGTATGTGAACTTAATTTGACATGGATTTTGTGACAAATTGATAAATTTAAATATGTACGCCCTAAATTCTTCACATGCTTAGTGCATCTGTACATTCTTTTAATGAAAATTAATGAAATTCAAACTGTCGATGATAATCTTTGTTTATGCGAGTTGTCTTAGACCCAGGTATAAAAGCAGATTGGGGCAGTCTTTTCAGAACAGTCTATAATTTGACAATTTCAGCCAATACTGGCTCCTTCATTTCGATTCCTTCGAGTTGAACATGTATTACTTAGCACAATAGGTGTTACTGGGCTGAATCAGAGTGGTCTAAAATACATCGACTGATACATTTCATCGCTTTATCGCACGGCTATGATTTGTGTAGATATATTGCGATTCCCTACAACAGTAAGTATTACCACACCCTCTGTAGTGTAAAAGTTTTAACTTTCTGCATACACTCCCAGCGCCGTCAGCTGGGGATGTTTAATCCAAACAAACATTTGATGTCTATATTGCTTGGATAAAAACATATTAAGATGATAACATACAATTCTTACATATATACTTGGGTCTGTCTGGTGTTTTTTTATGAAATCAGTCATCTTTTTGTGTAATATAATCAAAATTAAATTGAACCGTTTTGGGTTATTCGTAAGTCGGATAAACAAACAAGTGTCCAAATTTTCCTCTCCTCCCTCAACTCCAAAAAATAACGCTAAGCAGTAATTTATTATTCCGAAAAAACAAAAACCGTCAAGCTTTTCCTTTCCTCTCTCACATCCAGAAAATAACGCTTGGCAGTAAATCTTTATTCCGAATGACGAATAACCTTCTAACTTTCCTTGATATTGTAATGTGAGCACATCTATGCCTTTGGAATCCGAACTCCAACGTTCACTTGAAATAAACGCCTGTCATATTAACGTCTATTTTCATAATATTATACAAATATTAACAATAACAAACACAGTCATGGCGACTTACCTATCTGGGAGCTTCACCTCATGTATCCTCCGAACGGTTCATTTATAATCAGCATCATATACAATCCGTATTAAGTCGTTTGTACAATTAAACGCTCAATACTTAATATTAATGATATTGTAACAAATATTTAATTGTAAAAATTATCTGTAGCTAGAACATTTTGTTAGGATGACCCTGTCTACATGATGTTTGTTTGTTTTTTTATTAAAACTGGTGCATTACAGAATAAGATAATAAAAAAAAGTGTATGCCAGAAATGAATAGGGATATTAAAATAAATATATCATACATTAGCGTTAAAATCGGGGCAGAGACTCGCAGAGACAGGAACAGGAGAACATTCCAAAAGTTTCAGAAAATTCTGGAAGTGTGAACGTTTGAAGCTATTCAGTAGAAAACATTGACAACCTGATTTAGGGAACAACGTGCCGGAAATGGAGGCTAGTATGTCACTTCTGACGAAGGCAATGGTTTTTAAATTAAAGAAGACACATTTATTATTGAGATTGATAGTGAGATGACAATTATTGCCATACTTCTGTTATGTGTGTTGGTAGACTAAGATAGTGATGTAATGTTTCTGTAATATAAGGAGATTATGAAAATTGAATAAAACTGTATTAAAAAAAAGTGAAAATTATGTGAAAGATATTCAAAATGCATATTTGTGAACAAGATATATGATAAACAATTTTACTATTCAAAACACTATTTGGGGGAAAATACTTAACATTGTCTGTTTTGTCTTTATAGTGAAAAAATATATTCAAAGAGACGTAGAACTTAGAAAGTAAAGTCATAAATACCTTGTAAAAGGAGTGGGTGTAACACTATACGTTTTATGAGTGTCGTGTTGTAGTTTTTAATATAGCTGGATATGTTGATCGGCTTGAAATGTATTGTCGAACTATAAAAAGGATATGGAGATAATAATGTAAAGGATTGGATAAGTATCCTTTAACTCTTCTTCAATATCAAATTCAGCTCCAAATGAACACATAACAAACATAATAGAAGTGTCATATACATTAATGTGTGCTACTATCCTCTACTTGTATCAATGTCATTCTCGTCACTCACAACCACTATATACTTCTACGGTATTTCAGGTGGTTTAATACGATTTAGAGGATCAGCAAAAAAAATCCAAGAAACTTTAAGACAGACGAACCGGCCCTGGATGCAAGTCAGCAGCTCAAAGTACAACTGTGTAATAAATATTCTGAATGAGATCCGTCAGTTTGGTATCACAAATATTCGCTAAATTAAGAGTTAGTGCACAAAAGTATATGACATTTTTTTTTTCTTGAGCGTTTGAAAACATCTGTTGCGTTTGTCAACAAATGAGTGTAAATGCATAATGTTGTGATATACTGAAAATAACGGTGTGCCGAGTTTATGACGTATCCTGTAAAAATCGCATGAAGGCATTAAAAAAACACCATTGTCATTTCCCCATAAATTGACGGCTGCCTGAAGCGTTTTCTAGGGCGTAGCGCTAACATTACATCGGCACACCCATACGACTATACAATACTATTAAAACCAGAGAAGACACTGATTATTTGCACATTTTCAAAAAATCACAACAAAGTCATTCTGTATTGAAGTTTGTTTTGAGTTCATGCTAGTTAGTTCAATGATAAGATCCGAGTACGGGTCCGGATACACGTAGTCACTCGGTCTGTTCTATACACACTCATCTAATAAGTTAATATTTACATTACAAAGATATACATGTAGATTGTGTTTTCCGGTGACAGTTTCTGCACTGTATTTTGGACACATTATTAGTTCTGAGTCTAGCGTATAACGACTTGTTCTGGTTACAATTACGAAATGTCTTCCATAGCTGAAAAAGCAACATCATCTGACAGAGAAAAAAAATATGATAAACCCTTAATTATCTATTTATCAAATTTTAGGTAAATATTTAAAATTCTTTTATGCATATACACATGATACGTCATACATGATGTACAATACAGATATAACAAATTTTCACTAAATAGTAAGAGTTTACAGTCAAATATATCAATACTGATACATTACATTTCATTTACATTACACGTTTTAAGCCACCAAAAACAAGACAAGCTAAAATATGTACTTAAAAAGCTATGGCGGAAAACTGCCCATATTTCCCCAAGTCGGCATTTATGAATACGAGAAAAAAAATGAGTAAATAATTTATAGTAGCAAAAATGCATGGAAAAGGTATCAAACCAATTGAATATGAAATTTATTTCTTAATACAATACTGTAAATATAGCCATATTCACTATATCTATGAATGTAATGGGGTTTCCAAGACTTAAAAAAATACTTGCATCACTTTCCCATCCGAGGACTAACATTTGAATACATTTTTTGATTCCGTGATATAATATGCAAAACTAAATCTTATGACGGAAAAGTGCTCAAAATAATGAAAAACATGGTTGATGATCAAGTTTCTCAAAACTGTTTCTTGGGTTAAAACAGGCTGTATTACTGTAGTGTAGCCGAATGTGTAACGTAGTTAACTGAAGTGAACGGTGCAAGTTCGAAAATGTACGTCATTTATTCGATTGTGGTATGTCACATAAATGAAGGACGCCAATTAACAAAATACATATAATACACTATAAACTTCCCTCTCCCTCAAAGAGGTATAAAACTTAAAGCTTGTCGCATAGAAGTTTATAACATGATGTGCTCGATTTAGAACATACGATGTTACTATACAAATTTATTTATAGTAATGTTGTATTTGTATAAAACGAAATATAGGCTATCATAAGTAGATGATTATAGTCTGAACGTGGTACAGACTTTGGCTGGATGTGGGTTATCAGTATTTTAAATGAATTGCATTGTTTTTACTAGTGATAAACGTGCTAGGCTACATTTCGGTCAATGTCAAGTGTCCCAGAAACACGACTAACTCACACCAAGCTACTACTTACTGTCGTGGTGGTGAAATGCATCGTTTCTGGCATCAGCAATCAAAACTGATGTTCTCTTAACAAAGGTCGCCTGACAAGAGACTGTGCTACACAATATTTCAATTCCTACTCAAGTTGGACTCAATGCAACTACCAAATGTAACCTGTTTGAGTGTTTCATTTGCCGATGAATTTGACCAGATTAACATTGCCTGGGCGTATGATTTTGTCAAGGGAGTTAACCATTGACATGTTCAAATAAAGAAGATACTATTTGATAATTTTTTTTATTGAAGCTACAAAAGAAATTGTTCAAACAACCAAAAACGACCAATCAGCAAATTACTATCAGCTCACAGTTGCTAGCGGTAGTGACAAGTCATGTACTGCCCTAGAAATTCTCCCTCCAGCTACCCATTCTGCCTCTTGTGTCAGTAACAACCCCCGGTACAAATCGAAAACAACGTAGATCCATGTGGTCCCGTCTCTTATCACATACCTATGCTATCTTACAACAGTAATATAACAATTTTCTGTTGATGTTTTCTGTCGGTTTGTATCACACATGTGTGATACAAGATGTTGTATCACCATACTAGCCGGAACTACTTTTTATGGGAATCCCCTTGTCATGGCGAACTGAATAATTCCCGGTATTTGCAAAAAATATCAAAGTTCATAAACTCTTTGTATCGATCTCTACCAAATACAGGAGGTATGTAATAAAAGCAAGACCACACACTTATGTT